GAATCCAGTAAGTTCTGATCAGTTCTTTCATTGGTCCAGTTAGAGGATCTGGACCTGTAAACTTTAGCCTGTTTTTTTGTTCATCAAAATATTGTTTGAATCAAACAGCTTTTAAAAACTTCAGATCCAAACAAAACAGAACAATGAAAATGGGTCTAGAAAAGATTCTGATAGAATAGAAATTAGATAAAACTAGAAAGCAGAGAAATTTACCTTTCAGAGTAAAAGCTTTGTTTTAAAACCTGTATTTTTTAAAAGGACTCTGGTTCTGATTCGCTCCATCCAGGAGGGGATCTTCAATTATCAGAACATTTAACATCAGATGTGGGAAAATGTTTTAACCAGAACCGGTTCTGTTGTGGAATCAATTAAAAGTCCATATTTATTTAAAAAAAATGGTTTTTACAAAGAAAAAGTTCTGGTCCGTTTTTTTTTCCTGCTGACTTGTTGTTGAGGCTTCATGTTGTGTGAATGTTTGAAATAAGATGATCTTTGGATCCAGAACCAGACTGATCATAAAACCCGGCAGGTTCTGGTTTTAAGTGTTTACTGGACTCTGTTCAGAACCAGATCTGTTGTAAACATGTTTCAGAATCTGAATGTCAGATTCTTTATTCCACCTGAACGGATCTCAGAACCAAATGGGATTTTATTTATTCATAATTCAGTAACGGAACCAAAGTTAAAAAAAATTATTTTATATGTCAGAAATAAAAAATATTGAGAAGCAGAATTTGGACCTGGAAGCAGTTATTCTGTAGAACCTGGTTCTGTTTCTCCTGAACCTGTTTGTGCTGAGGGTCGTAATTCTGTGTGACTAGCAGTGGTGCTGGTTATAAGATGTTCTTTGGATCCGGAACCAGACTCAGCATAGAACCCAGTAAGTTCTGATTTTATTCTCAGTTGGTTCTGATTTGTTGGTCTTTTTTTACTGAAAATGTTTTGATGTTAAAATTAAAAATAAAGAATAAAATCCAGAACCAACATCTGTCTTAAAAAAACAAACCTCTAACAGGTCTGTAGAAATGGACCAGAACCAAGTTTTAATCAGCAGTTTTTAGTTCTTTAGAATCAGGCTCGGTTCTAGGATCAGTGTCTATAAGTGGACCTGGTTATGATTGTTTCTGCTGAAGCTGTAGATGAGAGTGTTATTTGATCTTTGTTCCAGCTTAACTGGTCTCAGTAAACTGGTTTTTATTCAATTCTGTTTCAGTGACAAAAAAAGAAAAAAACAAAAAAACATTTTAAACCAGAAAATAAGAAAAAAAAAAAAAAAAAACAG